CCTTGCGTCGCGGCCGCAGCGTCTCATTGTTGGAGCGGCGCAAAGAAAAAGCCAGGAGGGCAGAGAGACATGCATCCAGTCAGTCAGTCCGGGAGACACGTAAAGGGAAGGATGGGAGAGGAGAAGCAGGAGCGTCTCGTCCGGAGTGTAACGAAGCCTGGTGCTCTCCTGCTCCGCAGCTTCTTCTTCTTCTTCTTCTTCTTCTTTTTGTCACCATCCGACGCTGCTCGCTGGGGGGCATTTGGAGCAGAGAGATCCGACAGAACGCGAGTCGTGGGAACTGAACCAAGGACGCACCACCACCGGGAAATAAGGGGTTTCCTATTTTTTTAAAATAATATTATTATTTTATCTCTTTTTTTGGTGAAAATGTTCGATTCCATCAGCAGCAGCTTTCAAACAGCAGAGGAGAAACACTGACGCTCCAAGTGCTTGTATTCAAATAGGAGGGGATTTTTTTCCTTTTCTTTTTTTAAAATTTAACATCCGTGGAAAGCCATTGTGCATCTTGAGGCACCAGAACTGAAGAGTCTTCCCCTAAATCGATGACACTACACAGGTGCAGAAATGGCGTGCTTTTATTATTTTTTTTATTTTTTTTGCTGGCGGACTTTAAGATGAAACAAAGTCCAGATTAGCTGCTTTATTCCTCTTTTTTCTTTTTAAACACACTCTTCTTGAGACACTTTAAAAGTGAGACTGAACCAAAAGGAGATGACATTTTACCCCAAACTGCAACGGCCATTCAGCCATCTTAAGGGGCCTAGAGAGAGATGGAGAGACTAACTTTACAACTAGCAACCGGTAAAAGACGCGGAGAAGAGACTGTAGCGTGAACCAGAAAGTAGGATGCGTTTATGTGAGGATGCTTTAAAAGTCACAGGCTGGTTGTGGCTGCAACAATGCCTCCTTTGCATTATCAAACACTTGCAAAAAAAAAAAGAAAAAAAAAGGATGGGCTTTCTTCCAATGCGGTGATCAACAGAGGAGATGAGTTCCTATCGCTGACATTCAATCAGAAGAGTTCAAGGATTTGGGGAGGGGGAGGAGGGAAGTTGCACTAAATATATAAATATATATTTATATATATGTGGAGGTCTAGTTTCCTGCTGCAACAGCTCAGTGTTGCACACAGTGAGAGAGCTGCTGTTTCAAAAGGAAAGGCGAATCCAGGAGGCAGTGCTGAGGCAGTGAGGATGTCAAAAATAATGCACTATAGTGGGAAAAGGAAGGAGGAAGAAGAAAAAACCCAACAGTAGTGGGTGTGAGGAGACGCAGGCAGTAAACTGTCAAAGGGCATTTAGGCAGCAGCCGTATAGCAGGTGCACCCAGGGGCCTGTACCACCACTGCCCCCCTGCACGTTGCTGATTCAAACATTCAAATGCTTAATTTCTTTCCCTTTTCACTTTGCCAGAAGGACATACAGAGTCTTTAGCGACTGATTGTCCAAACGCAATTCTTGAGTAAACTCAAATTCAACCCCCAAGAATTGTGTATGGACATCTGTTGCTGCAGACTCACATTCATCACTGCTGTCTTTGGCCGAGCGCCACATCGAGATTGTGGGGCCTCCAAAAAAAAAAAAAAAACGCACAAAGAGGGGGATAGGAAGGCCTTTTTAAGTCTTCGTTTTTTGTTTTGTAACTGTCTCGTTTCAGGTAAGATACAAATCGACAATTATGCATGATATGGAGAGAGAGAGAGAGAGAGAGAGAGAGAGAGAGAGAGAGAGAGAGAGAATAAAAGAGGACGCGGGGCCAATAAAAGTGGAGGAAACCTGAATCCGGCTCGTGTAATGTGTTTTTCGGGGTGTGCGTTGTGCTCGGCCCGATTGGTATTTACACTTTGTCGAAGATCTAATCAAGACTGTTTGTTTTAAAAGGCACATATCGACTGGAGGCATTGATGTATCGACTGTGTTCGGCAAATAGTAGAAAGCAGAGAGTTGAGTGTTCCCAGACTGAGGCCTGCATGCTGCAGAGATGCACGTTGTGGATGAAAAAAAACACACACACACAAAAAAACACACACAAAACTGGAGCATCAGATGCGTAAAGTAGCATCAAAAATAAACAGAAATAATTATATTAAAATGCAAAAAAAAAAGTTTGGTTAAAAGCTACGTTTGACTGGAGATTAAAAATAAATAAATACAAGCTTAAAAAATCTCTAATCATTTGTTAATACACTGAGAGCAGATTTACAGCCTGTTAGGGATCATCTGCACAAAGGCTCTTCAGCTGCATTTATCAGGAGAAAATGTTGCTTCTAATGCAAAAAATCAAAGGCAGCTTACTGAATTTAAAGGTGGAAGAGTATTAAAAGAACAAAAGAGAAGAAAAAAAGAAAACGTGGCCTGATGATTGATGCTGCCAAATCTGTGGAGCCAAACAGCGTCACTGATAAATCACGTGGGGACACTTATTGGCTCATTAGATCATTTTTCTTTTGTTTATTTAAAAGAGAAATAATTTTAAAATATCTTTATTTTTCTGTTTAGTAATAAATCAAACAATTCCTTTAAATATATAAACAATTAAACAGTTTAACTAATATAATAAATTAAAATATAATCTAATAAATATACTTTTTTTTAAAGTAGTGCAAAATAAACTCACATAAATCACTTTATTTCTGCGTTTTCTTCGTTTTAAATGTGTTTAAAATGTGTTCCTGTTTGGTTGCCAGTTGCACTCACTAATTAATTCGAGACACACACACACTCTCTCACACACACTCACACACACACAAATGGCCAACGTAGTGCAAAATAAACTCACATAAATCACTTTATTTCTGCGTTTTCTTCGTTTTAAATGTGTTTAAAAATGTGTTCCTGTTTGGTTGCCAGTTGCACTCACTAATTAATTCGAGACACACACACACTCTCTCACACACTCACACACACACACACAAATGGCCAACGTGTGTATTGTTGTTGAACATTAAAGGCTAACCTCTCCTAATTCCTGGGGATTAGTGCATCTTGTTTGCTCTTGCAGAAACGCTTCTGTGTCCAACGTGGATCGTTTCTTCTTCTTCTGCTTTATTTAGACTTATTTTACAGAATAATCGAAGCCTCGAAATTACAACGTAGTACTTGAAGATTTTTTTTATTTTTTTATTTTTTTTGAACGAATGCATGGTGTGCACACACGTGGGTTTTTTCCTTTAACAGCTACAACTGGAGTGTTTTTGCATTAAAATCTTATATTTTAATAATAATCAGCAGGTTGTGGTGCTGAGCAGGGACCAGTCTGACTACTGGGAGGTTTTATTTGTGGCTATTGGTGCTAAATAAATAACCTGTTTTTAAGGCTTTTTTCACAAATCACACAAACAGCTCAGTTTTCACAAGTGTGTGCACCTTGCTGTGTGTGTTTGTAGCTTCAGTATTTTGCTCACATACATGCTTTAAATCTGGATTCTTTGCAGGAAACTATAGGAGCCTGTAGGTGCAACAGGAACACACCACCCTAAGGATTGTTGTTTTTTTTTTTAAGGATGAAAAATAAAAATAAAAATCACTTTATATAGCAAATAATAGCAGATTACACCAAAAAATGCAGAAAAAGGTTAAATTATTATGATTTTGATAACAATCTAAACATATTTATATATATTCTTTGACACAAGGATGAAGTTTTGCTCTTTTTTATGAAATTATTTCACGTTAGCAGCTCTGTAGGCTAAAGATAATTCAGTCTCATAATGCAAGAGTTTATTTTTCTTGTTTACTTTATGTTTGTTTACCTCCGGCTGAAGCTTTTTTATTTTTTTATTTTTTAATTCCCACCGTAGTGACTTGAGCTGTGCACGTCCTGGTTCTGATGGGATGATGCAGGTCCAGCATCGTCTCCTGTTGAGCAGCCATCAGTCAGTCAGTGTGCAGGCTTCAGGCCCACAGAGCAGTCCAGACCTGCAGCAGTTAGACATGCACATGCGTTCTGGTTCTGGTGAATAACAAGAGAAAGTGAGAGAGAATTAAAAATAATAAAATAAAATAAAAAGTGGAAGCTGATTTGGAATTATGGGAATTTTATGCACACAAACAACAAAATATTTATATTTAAAATTATAAGCTTTAAATATTTCCAGAACCTGCACTAACTTTGCAATCTTTGTTTTTCTTAATATTTAATCCAAATAAATAGAAAAAAAGCACCATTTTCTTTAATAACACCAGCAGACTCCCTGTAGAAGCAGAACCATGTTTGTGACCATCTCCTCCTCACCCAGAGCCTCTCCAGCCTCCTCGGCCTGCCCTGGCTGACACAGAGCTACATTTTCTCCTCTCTCACCCCCTCACAGCCTCATTAGCATTTCCTTTCTACCGGCCATTATAGGCCGGTTTCCCGTTGCAAATCGGACTCCACAACCGAGAAAAGGTTTTAGGTCGCCCCGGGCGTTCAGGGGAGGGCAGCCCGGAGGCTAGACCTCGACCTCCCGCAGTGGTCCTGTAGTTCACACCCCACCCACCACCACACACACACACACACACGTATATATATATATGTACATCCATCCAGCCTCCTCCTGCTCCTCTTATGAATATTCCAGCTGAGCGTGGCTATAGGAAGCTAAAATCTCCCCCAAGTCGTCTCCAATCAGCCTAAAACTGCAGGGAGATCTCACAACTGGGTTTAAATCGATCATATAAACTATCAGCACGAATTATGGAAGCGTGATGTAAAATCCTAATTGTGGAAAGAAAGAAAAAAAAAAGGCGTTTGGAGTTTGGAGAGGCCCCTGTGCGCGCCGCAGGGCGGGATGGAGCCTCACTGGGTGTTTATGGGACACAGTCCAGAGGTTTTTGCAGTTTTAAACCACTTTTAAACCACAAAACGAGCACAGTGACGGCACTTAACAATCAGAATAAAAAATATATTTATGGCATTTGTATTTGTAAATTTAAGAGGAGAGAATTTACGAATGATTTCCCAAAAATAAAAAGAATTTCTAAAAATATCTCATCACACATATGGAACAAAAACAGGAATAAAATCGCGACGAACGCATTTAGTTCAAATATTTTCAAAATACACTCCAGCAAAAAATACAATTATGCCACAACACAAATATGATATAAAAAGTCTTTTTTATTTGCATTTTACGGGAAAAAAATACAAAAAAATTTAAATAAAAAAGCGTGAATCACACAGGCCAAGCAAAGCACTTAGAAGTAAACTATTAACATTTAATAAACGGGTTCAAAAGCTGCTTGTAAAGAGATATAAAGACATTTAAGGGTTTATCAAGATGTTTCTCAATTACAGTTAAATCTGTTTCTGTACAAACAGATGATAAATAACCAATATGTAGTTAAATTAAATATTTCTGCATGAGTTTTAATTGTTGGCATGTTAATAAAAGCCTAAAATGTCCTTATATCTCCTCACAGCAACATCATGGTGAATTATGAACACTTTATTAAATGCTAATGTACAGGCTGGTTACA